CCGCGGACGGGCCGAGCTGCTCCCTTCCCCGGTGGCCCGGCGCCCCGCGGGAGGTGAGCGGCGCCCGCGGCCGTCCCCTCCTTTCCGTCCCGGCGGGGCTGATCTCCGCGGTGCCGGACTTGTCCGGCGTGCAGCTGCTCTGTTGACTCTCCTTTGAAGTAAGAGTCTGGGTTTAAGATAAAGGGCCAGCTCAGAAGATAACAGGTGAAACATCATAGTGAGCCTTCCCCTCTTCCTCCCAGTGAACACTCAGACCTTGAAGGGCCTCGCTAAAGTCCTAACGAGCTGCCCAGTGATCACTGCACTTCAGTGGCACCCGCGCTGGGCAGATGCGGGGTGTCTCCACTGTAGATCCCAGTCAGTTGCATATACCAGTTAACACATGCGATTTTGGCTCCCACCTTCTCCCCCAAGGAATCATAGAAATTACGCGGTCACCATTCCTACCTGAAAAGACACTTCTTAGTGAAAACAGATGACATGAAGTTGGCAATTCTTACATCTGAAAAACTTTCCTATCTTCTTGCATACTGCTTCTTTATCAACCAGTTAGGAGAATCGAAACTATGAGATCTTTCAGCAGTTTTAGCCTTTTTTTTCTGTAAATGAGTAAATGATCCAGAAGAATTCTTGCAGAATAGGAGGAAGTTTTGATCCTTGCAAACCGCATTGATTTAATCATGGGTTATGTAAGTATTCCAATTAAACAGAAGAATAACATCATTGGGGAATTCTTCCCAAGGCAGCTAAGAGGATATACAGTTAATTTTTTTCACTAACAATTACATAGGTTGAGAAAACAGCAAAAAGTGTTACGGTAAAAATATGCAAGAAAGTTACATTTCTTCAACAGATCAATGCAAATAAAGGTTGTGGGTTTTTTTATAATAGTTGTCTTTCCAAGACACAATTCCCCAAAACACTGGAATACTTTTACATTCCACAGATAGGAGGCAGCATGTGTGCTGAGTACTAATATTAAAGAATTCAATTAAATAATATTTTGATGCCCTCAGCTCTGTCTCTTTGCTTTGTTTTTGTGGGTATAGCTTTCAGCTTTCATCCCAGGCAGGAGAGGTAACAGGAAGCTGCTTGAAGGGCAGATTTCTTTGGATTCTGTGTTATGTTGAAGCAGAAGTGTATCTGAATAACTTCTAATTCGGGAGAAATGTATGCTGAATACAGTACAGGAGGTTAATGGCAATCTGCAAATTTTTATAACCTAACTTATGCTCCTTAAATTTGTTTTCATTTTATTTATTTTCTCCAGTGACTCGGCTTTTTTATCCTCATGAAAAAGATGAGTACTTAAAATCTGTTGCAGGAGTTAGAAACCGTATCAGTCAGTAGTACTTTTCTGTGATGCTTTTCATACAACCATCTGCACAGGTAGGCTTCATGAGAAGATACGAATAAGAAAATAGATTAGAATAAGAAATTTTTGTGTCTTTGACATAAACCTCTGTTTCATGCATTTTTCTTCTCTTTTATCTCCTTTTTTTGCATTCATTGATGAGAGACTGATGGAAAATTAAATTTCTCTTAGTCGGGGTGAGGCTGACGGTGAAGAACTGTGGGCTTTCACAATATTATGTGGATTTTCAAACTTAAATTTTTTCAAAGACACTGTGGTCATTGTCATTTTTGAGAGTGGCTGAGAACAAAGTGCAGATTGGTGTGAATGCAATGCTTAATTGAGTCTTTTTACTAAGGGGAGAGGAGGTCATGTTGCTTCTGTTCCATTCCTTAAAAAAGCATTTTTGTATGCATATCCAGTGTACGTGAAGCAGACTTTGCATGAACTTTATTGCTATGTAACTGACCCCAAAATAAGTGCAGGAAGTGGTTTATACAGTAATATTATGAATGACAACAACCATACAGGTTATTAAATTGTTGCACAAGTTTCCTTTTTAACTCTATCCTTCACAGTCACTTTAGCCTCACCCGGTGCCACCATTCTCAGAAGGTACTTTTGAAAAGCAGCACTACCCTGTACATTGATAGATAAAGTGGCAGACCATGCAGCAAATTGCTAGGTAAAAATTACAGTTTAGATGTTTGAATTACTCCAGAAATAAATGGGATTCCTTCTTGCTTTTTCCTAGCAGCACAATTCTCAGGCATAGGAGGCTGCAACTGTAAAACTCTTCGGAATCTATTTATTCTTATAGATTTAATTTTGTAAAAGCATGTTTGTAACTGGATTGTGTTTGCTGGAAATGCAGATGTGGTTTGTGATAGACTTGCTGTGTCCTGTGGAATCAAAACTTCAGATGATGGCACTGAGAATAGAAGCAATACAGTGATTCTGGGCAGCACGCTGAAGAAGATAAATTTTTGACCTGCAGTACAATAAAAATTACAAAGGTTTTGGATTATTTGCTCATATTTGTTCTTGTTTCTTTATGATTGGGAGTGCTGTGTTATGTCATGATCCAGCATCTGACTTTACTTACCAACTTCCCTGTGTGAATTAGGCAACACATAACTCTGTATTGCTTAGTAAGTCACATACTGTGCTGTAAACTGTATATTCATCAGGTGAGTGGATGCTATCTGCTGTAAAAAAATATAGTCCTTTCAATTTGATCATTACTGTTTCTGGGTGAACCCTGGATTTACAATATCAATATGATACTTTGGCTTTTTACCTTTGTACTTAGCAGAGAGGTAGCCAAGCATAAAACATGTAATTTCTTCCGACCAGGATCAGTAGCAGCATACAAGGAAAGAGAATGTCTTCCAAAACAACCCAACAGGAAACTCAGCTGTCTCCACTAAAGCAAATGGGATGGGTAAGCTGGGTTTCATCCCTTTTATTTTGATGCTATTGCTAGTGAAGAACTAGGATTTTGCATTGGTTGCTCTTACTGAAGAGAGAAACAGATGTCTGTTAGCTTAAGTATATAAATGGAGAGAGGAAAGGGCTATTTGTTATTCTTCCTGATTCACTACACTCAGAGGTCTAGGAGCTTTTGAGTCTTAAGATAGTGGGCTCTGATTTATGCTGTGCTGGTTAAACTAATTACAAACTGGCAGAGCCCTTGTGTCTGAGTCCTAGTCCAGTATAACCTGTCCCCATCAAGTTGTGCGTGTGTGCATGTGCATGTGTGTGCATTCAGAAAGGGAGAATGGAACAGTACTACACAAGAGCCTGCCCTCCAGCCGTATGGCAGCTGAGCATTCTCCTCTGTTGGAGAAGTCAGCTACCCACAGGGTTCAGATTTTACCGTGGTGTGGGCTTGCTGCTAACCAGTCACTGCCAGAGAGCAGCAAAAGTGGGCTGATCCGCAAGGACAGTGACGTGTGAGCCACAAGTGACAGCAAGGTGGGCAGGGGTTGTGACCTCTGTGACAAGGAGCACAGTCCCACAGTACCCAAAAAAAGAGAAACAGAGCAGATCTGGTGATGTTAACCAGGGTCAAAGAGGAGCAGAGCAGATCCAGTGATGTTAACCAGGGTCAGTCAACAGTCAGTCCAGTGACTGCCAGGTAAGTCCCTAGGAATAAGGCCAGGCTGATGGTAAGGCAGGAGGTCAAGGTAGGGATCATGATGATAAAAGGCCACATAAAAGCGCACCTACAACAGAGTTAAGGCAAGGGCCTGAGCTTAAATGCAGGTTCTGAGCAGAGGGATAGAGGCCCTGGGCAAAGTTTCTTGCAGCTCTTTCTCTCAAATTCGCTGTTTTCAGATCAATCTAATTCAGTGCTACACAATGGTGCCATGTTAGAGCTGACTTTGAGCCCAAGCAACTAAGCCCCTGGCAGGGTGTGTATGGGGTCAGAAAGGTTGCAAAGCCTGTTGTTGCAGGGCCCTGGTACTCATTTCCTTATCTTTTACTCAGCCGGTTTGGATTTGATTGTGTTTGCTGTGACCTTGCTGTGAAACCAGTTTGAAGTGGCGCTCTAGGGTCTGGAGCAGAGTCAGTTCTATACTGTTTACCCAAACAGCACCATTATTAACTTTAGTGGGAGCAGTGCTTGAAGAAGGACTGAGATAGTAATTAGCTAAAATGTGAAATGTGTGGCTGCAGCCAAGGAAAGCATTTCATTGTTACAGTTAAAAAATCATGGATCAGTCAGACATAAAATGAGGTAGAATCCTGTAACAGACTAATGTGCTCTTTTTCCCAAGGCACTGCTTGTTCTACGAAGTCCAGTTTTGCTTTCAAAAATGTTTGTAGATGCTGTGTTTTTTACAGAAAAATGTTAACATTTCAATTAACTTAATGACAACTGCTTTTCCCCAGCTTTTATTGCTGAGCACATCATATGGTGTGGGATATCCCTTTGGTCAGTTGGGGTCAGCTGTCCTGGCTGTGTCCCCTCCCAAGTTCTTGTGCACCCCCAGCCTACTCGCTGGTGGGGTGGGGTGAGAAGCAGAAAAGGCCTTGACTCCGTGTGAGCACTGCTCACTAGTAACAACATCTCTGTATTATCAACACTGATTTGGTCGCAAATCTGAAACGCAGCACCATAATAGCTACTATTAAAAAATAAGTTGTTTCCCAAAACCAGTGCACCCATGTATTTCAGATGTCCAGCAGTGGTACTGCAAGTGCAAACACTGATAACCAAGTCATCAGTTAAAGAACGAAAAATAATCTACTTGTATCCATATATCAATACCCTGGATAGTAGAATGCAAGAGAGAATACTGTCACTTTCTTCTCACAATCAAAATAGAAGGAAAAAAAAGAGCTACCATTAGCCTAAAAGAAGCCAGTTGGCAAGCTAATTATTATGGGGGTGAAGCCATTGTTGTTGAGTTCAGTTAATGCCATGAATATATTTAAGCCGCTCAGAGAGAGAGTTAGGCTCGTGTCCCGGTTTCGGCTGGGACGGTGGTGATTTCCCGGACCTGAGAGCGGAGCCCGAGCGCCCGACCCGCATTCCGGCCGGGATAGAGTTAACGGTCCCTCAGCTGGGCGGGGACAGTCGGCGCGGCGGGCTCGGATTGGCCATTGGAGCAGTCCCTCGCCTGTGACGTCAGACGCGGGCTCCCTCGCTTCCGGTCTGTGGTGGCTGGCTCTTCGTTCTGTCGGGGCTGCGGGCGGGGGGCGAGCGGCGTGCAGCGCATTGTACTTCCCTGTTGTACTTCCCGTTATTGTCTGTTGCCATCGCTACACTGGTATTAATCTCAGCCTACGAGTTTTTACTTTCTGTCTCTCCCCTGATTCCCGGGCGGGGAGGGGGAAGGGTCAGCGACCGGCTGCGGGGTGATTGGCTGCCGGCCGAGTTCGAACCACGACAGCTAGTTAGGGGAATCGGACAGAGTTTATGCTGACCCTCTTCGGAATACTTGCAAAATCTGCTCTTACTGAACTTAAATTGACTCCTGAATGGGACACAATTTCAGTTTTAGAAACTACCCCTCCGCCTTTACTTCCTGCCATTTGCTTCCCAGAAAGATGATGTAGCTCATGAGAATGAAAGGGCTAACAGAAATAAAGCAATAAATATACTTCTGGGGTAAGCAGCAGCCGAGCTGTTTTAGTAAAGTACAGACCAACAGGATGAGTGGTTTTAACTTAAAACCTATGTAGTTCTTCCCGTTTCTCTGTTGGGGTACCAAGTAAACATTTCATCACGCAACTGGTTGGTTGGTTTTTGTATTGTATTTTTTAAAATAACTTGTTTTCTTTAATTGATCTGGGTTTTTTCTTCCTGTGAGATTAAATTCAGTAAGCTAACTCAAGTTTATTGTTTCAGCCAATGTTCTATTGTCCCATCTCACAAAATTACAATGCTGGAGAAATTGCAAGGATCCGTAAAGAATGCAAAAAGGAAAGTTTCTGGTACAGAGGTGAGCATTCCAAACTTGTTCTTATCACACTGAGAATGACTTCTCGATGTACTTAAGCAAAACTGGCTGCAAAATGTTACACTGTTTATTGTAATACATTCAAGTTTGTTGGAATGTTATTGTGGGGTAACTGTCACTTTGAGCAAGATGTTATTATAGGGTTAATCGAATTATTTGCATAATCACTGTAGGTAAAGGTGGTTGAATTAAGCTCTTGTTTAATATGAACTTGCCATAACAGTCATTAGAAGTAGTTCTATTCTTGAAGTCTGTTACTAAAACAACATTAGAATGTTTTACTTTATTATGTACTTATTCCTGCCTTTGAATAAAAGGCAGGCATAGTTATGTGTCTTGGGTTTGTGAAATTCTTTAGGTGTAGGACATCTAAAAGATTAGTTACTAGTGTTCTACTGTCTTTTAAGTTCACCATGTCAATTTGTATCTAAATTACACATTTTCTTAAAGGAGAAGATTGAAAAGGGCTTCAGCATTTAATTGGAGCTGCTGTCATTACTAGTGTTGTAGTACTGACAGGAGATATTCTGATTATGGAATTATTATTTAGTAAATAAATATAATGCACTAGCTCCAGATGCTACAGCATGACTGATGTCTGGCATTGTGTGAACACATCCTTGCTTTGAAGAGTCATCTGAATGAGTAGATGTAATAGGTGATTAAGACAGTATGCAAAGTTAACATTTAAAAGATGAGTAATATGTTTAACATTATAAACATATAAAAGGGTAATGTATTTAACATATAGGTAACAAATTTTGGCTGATACCAGATACTCTTTTTACTTTTACAGCTCTTCCTTTGTCTCTCGGGAGCATGCTTGTCACCCAGGGGCTAGTCTCAAAAGGTAAATAAAAAAAAAAAAACAAACACGATGCTCCTAAGTTATGAAGTTGAGGCTCTGGAATTACTACTGAAATGCAAGTTTCCCTGAAGCCTGCTGTTTTTCAAGATCAATATTCCTTTCATCACCATCATTGTTACAGTGATTTGATCATTATGTATGCATTGCCACAGTCATTCTTTTGAAAGCCCATGAGCTGAAAAGAGAATTCACAAATTCAAAGACTGGTGGCTAGACTCTGTCACCGTGATCTCGTGTATTTGAGTAGAGTCTTCGCTGGGGGTGCTTGTAGGGCAGAACATCCTACAACCTGAGGAGGGGCATCAGAATTGGGTACTATAACTGTTGGTTTATTTGAGAAATGCTGGCAATGTTTTTACAGCGACCATGGATCGGTATGAATAAAGCTTTGGGGCAGGGGGACAAGGAGTACTGCCAAAGTGAGAAGACAGAGGGCTTTTTATAGAGTTGGCTTGTGATCTGCAGGCTAACACAAAAGACAATTGTATTCTGTTTCTGTGGTGGATGAGCCTGGTTTTACATGTTGCACTTTGAAATGTGTAGTTTGCCCTCTGGGGGTCTTGACTAATAATAAAGTTGAAGGTTAGTCTTTTGGGTAAAGAGTGAAGGGCATCCACCCTGAAGATTGCTGGGATGAGTATATCCCACAGGAGCAAATAAGACAGTCCTTCAGCCTGCATCTGCAGCCACTTAAAGCAAAGGCAGGTAGGAGAAGAGAAAAATCACAGGGCCTAAAGCAAGAAGCAGAAGAGAATCCAGGGGCTATAGGAGGTGAGTGGTGGGAGAGCAACTGGGGGAGGTGGACATGGCTCAGTCTTTCCTCAGCATGGTTGCAAGCCCCTTGTTTTGTTCCAGCCACTATTACCATGTTTCCTCCTCATCAGATTCTTTTTTTTACTAGAATGATCAGGAGGAATACAGTAGAAAACCTAAAAGCTGTGCCCCAAGAGGCTGGTGTGGGTTCCCTATTGTGTCCTTGACCTTCAGTTTGTAGGCAAATGGGGAGGGAATGAGCAAGGGAGAGTATGTGAAGGAAAGCAAAGGATTACACAGTTGAAAAAAGTATGAGTAGTGATAAAAAGGGCACTGGAGTTGTCTCAGCAGCTAACATGCCAGCCTCTAGCACCAGGTGCTCTTCCCAATTTCTCTCCATTGTACTTAGATGTTTCTGATCAGCTGTGAAATAACAAAAGCCCATATCAAATAATCATTAATGCATGTCAAGAATTGGAAGGGGGGGACTGTTTAGAAGCAGACAACAGTTTTGTTCCTCCCTCCCCGAGAGACCCAATTTAAAATCGCATAGATGCCAGTGGGTGAAGGCCACTGCATTTAGCATAGACTGAGTGCTCCTCTGTCTAAACGCTCCTTTCTGATGACTACACACAGTACACTGGGTCTAGAAGAAGCTGGAGCTTCTGAGCATCATTAACACTGAATGCATGTAACAGGGCAGTGTTCACTTCCCTTTGCCATGGTAATCTTGCTGTGTGGAGCCCCTCTCCACAGCATGGCACTGCTCTGCCACACACATGCTCCCAGAGACATACAGTTTCTGTCTCCTGGTGTTAACTGGAGGAAGTTAATTTTGGTGGGAAAAGCTAAAGAGAATCTTTTGGTCTGCACACTGCATTCTCCTCTTAAAGGCCAGAACATACGCTCTTTCCTCTCTGGAGGAAGAGGCTAGATACCAGTGCTACAGTTTAACATGGGTTTAATCAATAGCCACTGAAAACTACCAGAGAATAGTTTGGGCCTGGTTGTTGCTGCACAAGGAGTTAGACCCTGAGTAAGAGGTTTCAGTTTGCTGTTAAAACATAATAGGGTTGGTTGGTTTGTGCTGAAACATAAGCCACCATCTCTTCCTCCTCCTGCAGTGCTGCAGGTGTCACCGGTGGCAGCAGTGCTACTTTCATGTTGATTTACACTCCAAACCCATGCCTGAACTGAATCCTGCAAAGTTCAGACTTTTTTCCTCCTGTGACTTAGAACTACCCCAAAACAGATGCACTAAGAACTTAGAACAGAAATTGCCCCGATGTTCCTAAATCTGGGTTAATAGACTTTTTAAGTTTTCTATACAGTCTTCACCTTCAGAAAAGCAAAAGCTTCTCTTGGTTTTGAGTACTGGTGAGTTCCTCGAGTGAATAAGCTTTTTGACTACTTCCTTTTATTTTAGGCGTTTTCTCAGTGAACCCAAGATTTGGTGCATTACCTAAGATGGCAAGTAAGTTGTATCCAATTCTAAAAAGAAAGAAAATTATATTTACAAGTGATATGCAGACCTTAGGTGGATCTCTCTGAACCTCTTTTCAAACTCTTCCTTTTTTGGAATTCATGAGATGTTACCACAGCACTTTAGGAAGTCAGAATTCTGCTGTGTTTATAAATAAATGTATGAAATAAGGTTCTTTTAATGTCAACATTGTCACTTGCAGCACATATTTACTTAATATATCCTCTCAAATTGGTAAAAACTCCAGTCTCACCTTTGTTTTATAAATAAGTCAGCCTCATTGATCAGCCATGCTTAGCAGATCACACAGTTTAGGATATCAAGGAGTCATCATAGTATAATATATGCAAGAGTATGTTCCTTTTAATATATTAATTTGATCTTAACTGTCTAATTCATGACCATGAATTGATAAAGGAAGCAAATAAAAGCGCAGAAACTACAATACAATAAGGTGGCTTTTAAATGGCAAGAAATAAAGTTGATTCTCTCTTCAACAGAAGTTCAACAGAAAATTGGGGATGTTGAACTCGTGTGGTAATATGGCAGGCTGCTGTTCTAGCTTCTTAGAAGCCCGAAGAGGAGAGTGTTAAAAAGGCAATGATTAGAAATATACCATGGTGTATTATATACTAAAAGAAATTAGTGCTGACATCGTTAATTAATTTCATTGAGGGATATCTCTATAATTTGTTCCTTTAAATCCAGAATCTTGTAATTTCAGCTGAATATGATATCCTTCTCCTGTGTGCATTGTTTTGGACAAATTGCTATGTCTCATTATAGGTAACTGGCTTCCGATAGTTATTGAAATAATCCCGGTAATCCCTGTATAACTTCAGGTGTTTGTGACATGTTTTGAGAAGACATGCTACATACAGTTCATCGTATGATTAAAATGAAGCCAATTGGAGACTCTTGATTTAAGCTCTTGTATTAACAATGTTTTATTATCTGTCTTTATAGTTGCTGGTGTCTTAGGTTTTGCCATTGGAAAGATATCATACATGGGAGAATGCCAAAAAAAGTTCCAGAAAATTGGTATTGTACCATGTGGTCCACAACAAAAAAGGTTTGTGCTTATATAAATTATTAATCCTAGTTCAAAATAGTCTAAAACGTAGTAAAAATTATATACAGCAAAACTATGAATTTAAATTCTGTGATCCAGTGGTGAGACTCTACTCATATTCTTAGGCTGTATATAACAGTATTAGAAACTACTAAATATTCTTCAGAAAATGCAAATTAAACTTAGTGTAACACCTGTTACTAGGAAATCCATGATTTAAATGAAGTTATTGTACTTTTAAGTGTGATGGGACAACAGTTATTAGTTCTCTTTTCATCTATTATTGTGTCTCTAAGTGTCTCACAATCGTCTATAATATCTCTTTGGCCCTTTGAGTCTTCCTTTGTACCACACATTAGGCCAAATACACTGCAGGTTTTTTTTTACACAATCCTCATATTTTAGCAGCAATTTCAATCTCAGCCCTCATTCCAACCTCCTCCTCTGTGGCTTTGCCCAACCTCATACTGCCATGCCAAACCATGAAGACCACAAACTGCGAGGGTATTTTTTCCACCTTACAACTTTAACCATATGATACATGTCAATGGCTGCCTTCTGTCACCTGGCACCTCTGTGTTTTAGTCATTGTTTTCTAAACTTCACGTAAAGCACTCTTTCCCCTCAAATCACACTTAACTCTTCCAAGCTTCAGCTGCCAGTATTACTTTTCATTCTCAGTGTGGCTTCTCATATGTATCTTTCACATGCAAATTACATTTCCAAAAACCCTGTCCACAAAATCATTCTCTGTCTTTGCACATCTTTCCACCAGACCAACATGAGTTTTTAGGCCTATGAAAATGCCTGACTGATAATAGGAAGTTTCTTCACTGTTCATATATCTTTCTACTTCCATTTTTCCTCCACATAACAAAGCTATTACTTTCCTCATTTGGTGTTACACAAAATGGCTATTCGTCACTTTTTTGTATTATACACCTTGCTCCTAAGTGTTCATTATTGGTAGGTACAATGGCAAGGACTGTCTTTTCCTGTTGTAAAAATCCTATTATATTTTGATGATTGCTGAAAATAGTAGTTAATTAATGGGGTTTTATTGGCTGAGACATTTAGATGTCATCTTCTGCAGTTTATATCACATAAAGCAGTTTAAAAAATTGGAGAATATAGGCAAGAGATTACTTCTTCAGGAACATTTGCCAGCATGCTATATGGTTGTATTGGAAGAAATCCAGCAAAATTCTTCAATATTTTATCTGCTTTCAATATTGTAGGCATTGCCATCACACTTGCAAAGAATGTGAAGCAAAATTGGGATCGAATGAGAAGGAAGGTTCAGGTCTGTCAGCATCTTAGTCCCAGGTAGGCAACCTTGAAATTTAAAATAAATTCTCATTTTATTTTCCATGTTGAGTGGTATTCTTGTTTGAAACCTTTGAACAATATAGTAAAAATAACGGATTTAATTATGTATTAAAATCTCAGCATTATTCACTGAAATATTCTCTATCTATGGTTTCTAATTAAATTTGTTTCTTAATTTTTACCTTACATACCTTATATTTTAAATCCCCCATTTCTGAGGAATTTCTGCTTTAGCTGTATTGCTTTTTCACCTAATTGGAATTAATTTTGATTGACTACTTGTATGAAAACAGATACAACTCCTTTCAATTTCCAAGATTTTTACTTAAGAATCACATAATTATGGATAATGTTGATATTTAAAAATACATTGAAATACTGATAATCTCAAAGCAGACACAGTTGGAGGTGGATTTGTTTGTTTCTTTGGAGTGATGCATCCAGTACTATGGTTTGGCCAGAGCCTTAGTGAGGGTAGTGTAAGAGTGGTTCTAGAGCAGCTATGTGGTGGGGCAGGGGAGATGCACATGTGATGTTTTCACCCCAGAAAGGGGAAAGGAGCATTTACGGGGTGGAAGGCAGGGAACTGCTTAAAAGCACTTTCACACTTTGTCTATGAAAAACAGGCCGGCAGCTGGGCTTTTTAAAAGCCTTTTCACACATTCTGCTTGTGGTAAACTGGCCTACATTTCTCACAGGCAGGAGAATGTGTGAAAAGTGTTTGCAAATAGCTTGGCTGCCTGCAACAGAGGAGAGCAGAGGGCCTGCTGGAAATCCTGCCATGTGAGTTTATTACGGCTCTAACTGTAGCTTGGAACAGAAACCTGATGCAGAAATTGTTGAATTGAGCCTCTTTGACGTGTATTATGTGCAAATTTAGACAAGGCTATTGATAATGGTCCCTTTCTTGTTCTAAAGTGTGTGACTGCAGACAACCTATAAGCAGGAGTATACTACCAGAACCTGTTTACTTACCTAGAAGAGAGATTTTGCTGGACTTCTACTATGCAACAATACATTACAGCAGTAAGGATTGTCCTTAAGGAAGCCATCAGAATAAATTCCTGGTTTTAATCAACTTTGCTGCTGCTTGATTATATATCAAGAGCTGCAAGTGCTCAGCCACTACCAGAAAATGCATTTTGGCTTAGGCTCGCCTAATAGGGTTGCTGCCAGAATTGGCAGTGCTTCTTTTGTGCCAGCTGTAGAGATAATGAAGCAATTTGACCCTCTAGATCAGCTCACTGCTCTAGCAAGGTATCAAGCTCCTAAGGGGAAAAAAAAAAAAAAAAAAAAAGCCAGGAAACCTTTTGACAGATATCTTGCTAATGCCAGCACGAAGGAGGGAGCAAGCTGGATTTAGATGACTGAATGAACGACACCCTAAATCCATTAGCAGTTGTGAGCTTAATTAAGCCCTTGCACTACTGTGCTGATTAAGTGCTTTTGAAGATTTTCTCTTAAATAAATGTTTGCTTATGTAGGCCAGTGTCCTCACCTATTTCAAATAAGGACCTCAAAGCATATTTGAGGATGGTCACTTACTAGCAATTACCTGTGTAGTGGAATCAAATGTTGATGATGGGATTTACTTCCACTGTTTGTCAGAGCTGGAGCTTGCAGAACCCTAAATCCAAACACATTTTCAGCTTTTTCCCCTTTTCAACCTTCCCCCGTGAGCTGACAATATTTCTTCTGGTGTATAAGTACCAATTAGATTTTAAGTAAATTCCAAATTGTATGAAATGCAAAGGATCCTTGCAGCTGTATGAAGGCAAGAATGCAGAATGCTACAGTCCTCTCTATTTGTTTTCCTCCTGAAGCGGGTCCTGGAATTTCTGCTGTGGGACCTGTTTCCTGTTCCAGCTCAGGTGTTCATCAAAGAAGTTAACTGCTTTTTACTTCTTACCAGTCACTTAAGTATTGTCTGTTTTTTAAAAGAGCTAGAAATCTCAGTCAGAAACATAGTCTAAAAACAAATGCAAGTGTATCTCTTCCAAATTTTAATTACTGGAAGGAAAAAGCCATTATATTTGTGTCAGTGTGGCATTTTGAATTTGCCAGGAATCACTTTTGATGCCCAGGTTTTAGAAACTTAGGAAAATAAATACTGTAAGCATTGTGTTGTTTTCTGTATTGTTAAACAATGAAAATAATAACCTAATAATCTTTTTTATATTTTAATCAAAATTCTTCATTTAGCATGCTGTGGTCTAAAACTGTACAGAGACCCTACTGAGCACATCTCACCACCACTCTCCGTGCTAAGTGTACATTTCAAACTCTGGAATTGCCTAGGAGGACCACCTGGATAAAATTATATTCATGCTGATGAATCTAAGGGTAATTTCTTTATCTTCAGGGAATTTGTAGAGTTCTAGGAGAAATCACCAAGAAGCCTCACATTTCACACTGAAAACAAGGTGCCACTCAGCTAAGTATTTCCTTTCATTTCATTTGCAGATATGGTGAAGATGATAAAGATCTGATGGATTATCTTCTTTCAAGGCTTTATTCTGTAGAGAAGAAATTATGTCTTTGGTTTGATGTAAACAGAGTTATTTGAAGTGCTTGCATAATGTTAGATAGTTCTGTTTACAGTAAACAGCAGTTGCTTGTAATGCACTTTTGGGGTTTTCCTCTCCTCACTCTTCTCAGCATGTGTTGGTTTTGTTTTGTTTTTTGTTTGTTTTTTTTTTTTTCTCCAGTGCAATTAAGCTCTTAGTGCTGAAAAAAATACTTTTGTCTTCTGTACTTAGACACTGGTAATATTTTGTGTTGCAAGCAAAATGGCATACTCTGGAATGTTTGTCTTTACATCAAAAGGAAAGAGTGCAAAGATGTTTAAATAATTTTGCACAGTTTGCAGCTAGCCAGTCTTTGAACTGACTCCTTGTTTCTGGAGTGTTTGAAAAGTAGTAAGCTAGAAGCTCATTATGGTGTGGTCTGTTGTGGTTTAACCCCACACTAATGTCCACCCAGCTGTTCGCTCACTCTGCCCTCCCTGGTGGGATGGGGGGAGAACTGGCAGAGTAAAAGTGAGAAAACTCGTGGGTTGAGAGAGAGTTTAATAGTAAAGCAAAAGCCACACACACAAGCAAAGCAAAACAAAGAATTTGATCACTGCTTCCCATCAGCAGGCAGGAAAGCAGGGCTCCATCACATGTAACTATTACGTGGGAAGACAGTCACCGTCACTCCGAACATCCCCCCCTTCCTTCTTCCCTCAGCTCTATATGCTGAACCTGACGTCATATGGTATGAGATGTCCCTTTGGTCAGTTGGGGTCAGCTGTCCCTGCTGTGTCCCCTCCCAACTTCTCGTGCACCCCCAGCCTTCTCGCTGGTGGGGTGGGGGGAGAAGCAGAAAAGGCCTTGACTCTGTGTGAGCACTGCTCAGCAATAACAAAAACATCTCTCTATTATCAACACTGATTTCAGTACAAATCCAAAGCATACTATCCCATACTAGCTACTGTGAAGAAAATGAACTCTATCCCATCCAAGAACATTACAGGCTACACTGCAATTACTGTGCTGAACCAACATTTAATAGGCCAGGTTTACATAAAAACCCACTTTGCTAGGGATATCAAAAACATGTGTCACATTCACAATGCACAAGAAGATAGTTTGGAACAGTTTATGGTCTGTGCACAAGCCAAGGCTAGTAGATGTTGAGCAAAAATTAGATGACAGACATACAAACAGCATGACATACAAACTGCAGTGTATCTCAGGAAATCAAGAGAAAATACTTCCCCTAAACACGGTGATGGTGTTCACATGGAAACCTAATGTACAGCTGCTGAAAAGTTTGGTGTTCACTGTTAGCTGGTGAAGCCTGTCTTCTGTGGGTTTTCTGTTTGGTTGGATTTATACTATGCCTATGGTTATTACCCGTCTTTTGAATCAGCTCCTTTGGGCATCTTTCCCTGGACACAAAGAGATTCTGCAAGTGGAACATACAGCACGTAAAAGTTACTATTAATTGGCTACTACACACGAAAGACGTTCTGGACTTAAGAAGCTATAAGGTTAAATGCTCACCACCCTGATAAGGCACTTGAAGAGTCTTTCCTAGCCAGGCAGGCAGCAGTGGGAGAAGGGTTAGACTAACTAGCCTCACGGTTGTTTTTTTTTCCCTTCAAGATTTTATACCTTTCCAAATTGGTGTTTGCCCTCCTGAATTCATGAGCTACTTAAGAACCCCTGTCTCAACAGGGGCTTTAATTTTACACTTGTTACCTTTCTACAGACTTTTTCCACAGCTCTTTCTCAGCAGTCTGAGTCAAGGGTATACAGCTGTGCTGTACCAGAGGTGATGCTTTGTGTACAGGCAGGTAAACTTTGGGGAGCCTTCAACTAGCACTGCAGGGAGAGAGGGTTACACAACCACAGAAAAGTCAACCTCCCTTGTTATTTGTGAAAATAATATAATTATCATGGGTGTACTGTGATAGCCAGTAAAACTTGTATGGTGACATGTCTTAGCTGACATCTGCTCTAAAGATAACAGCGACAAACTGCACAGGTTAGTCATGCCTGGCTTACCTGAGGCAAGCCATTACATCTGGTGGTGCCGAGGAGACTGATGCATGTGACAGAGGACCTTCCATGTCGGACTCTCAGAGGTTGTTCTTGTGGTCAGTGTTACCTCCTGGCGTTACAACTTAGCTATTTAACTTTGCTTTAAATGTAATTTTGTTCAGGCTTCTAATTTCTTTGCTGTAATAAATGTAGCTATAAAAAAATTTATTGTGTCATGTTTCTTCTAAATTTATTTCCATACTTTGCAAGAGGCAATACTCTGATTAGCTAATTGTGTGGACCTAAGTTCAGGAGTTACTGTGATACTGTTATGAAGAAAAGGCTGTTTGTGAGTCTAAGCTGTATTAGCACTATATTTGTGCATATCAGAGGAAAAATGAGCACAGCTTATGTGCAAAATGTTCTCTAGAAGGTCTTTAAAAGCGTTTTTCTGTACTTCAGAGGATTTATGACCAAATAATTTTTTAAGCCTGTCAGGTGTCAGGGTCCACATAATACTCCTTGATTTGAGAAATAACAGGGTTGGTGTTTTGGCCACGTTGTTATTTAATTTCGATAAAATACAATTTCTCCTGCTTTGCTCAACCAACAGTCTAGTCAAATGTGCAGCCAGGCTACAAGCCTTATAATGAGGTAGTAATGATGTTGCAATATTTCTTAAATATAACATTAAAAAAAAAAAAAATTCAAGTTAACTGACTCTCCCAAAAGCACCAGCTACAAAAGGGTACATAAGACTCACAACATATTCTGTACCATGTTACTTAATTTGATGAAATTGGAACCAACTGGCTTTTATCATGCTGTGACTTATAGGTGTGTTGGAATTTTCAGTGTCTGGATATGTGTTCTAGGGGTGGAATCGGACAGATGCTGGAATTTTTAGCACTGGATGGTTTACAGCACCTAGTTAAATTTCTAAGCTTCTTAAAATTTGACAGAGAAATATGAAAAAAATGCCTTTTATTTCACAGAAGTTCCATAAGAAAGCAGGTTTTGGGGTGTTAGTTATGCTGCATGATGCAGAAAGAAACATTTAAATGCATACTGATTATTTTACATTATTACTTTATGCAAAAGGGAGACAGGAAGAGCTGGACAAAACCTCATGTGCTTTCATGGCCAGACCCTCAGGAATTTTCTACTTGGGAAGATAAGCTCCTAATGATTAACAAAGAGTGCTCTAAGAACTGTAAGTTGGTACAGCTGTTCTGTAGTAATTAATTATGCACAATTTAATGAGCTAACCTATGTTGACCGTTACTATCATGCATTCTGTACAAGTTGGTTACAGAACTTGTTTTTAATTGAAACATAAGATGAATGTGTGAATTTAGGGGTGACCTATTAAAAAAATAGGGAAAGGTATGAGGTAGTCAGTTGCTTCCATAATATTTATTTCAGTTTGGAATAAGAGGGGAAGAGATCTCTAGGAGGAAAAATAGCTGACCTTAAAAAGGACCAAGCATTATTTATATAGTGCTAATACTTTCCTTAGTACTTTCTATTAGTAATAGGATATACATTCCCTTTTGTCAGGAAAATGTTACAAAAAGGCTAAAAAAACCCCAATGAACATACATAGCTTCCTATTAATTATTTGCAGCTGGAAAATGGAGCTTACTTCACCCAGAGATGACAAAGTTTAACTGTGTGCTTAGGCACATCACGGCTTAGTTGAAGTCGACGTACTTGCTAAAATCAATAAACAAAATACATCCTTCAGCTGTAACGCATTCAAAGTGTGAGTAGCATTAGGTAAAACTTAATCCACTTTATGAAATTATGAGTAGAAAAAGGGTCTGAGTAAAAGAGGAAAACTATAATAACATTAACCTCAATCAACTGCAATAGATGTCTTTGGGGACTTTCATATTAGCTATTTGACTATATTTGATCAATTTATTTTTTTTAATTGTGTTTTAGAAGAGAAAGCAACTAGGTTGAAACAAAGCACATTCCCGTTTAAATCCTGATTTAGTAGTTGGACTTCAGGCAAGCCAGCTGGTCTATAATTCTCTTTTAAAACTGGGAAGGAAGGGGAGATGATAGTTTACTGTCCAAGTTTTTATAGATCCCAATCAAAAATAAGATTTGGAGCTTATTTTATTACATTTTGAGAAGAGAATGAGTTTTTATGGTCTCTCACTCTTAAACTGGCAAACGTTTATCACGGACAGGACCCACAGAGGTAATATAGCATAGCCTGAGATAAAGTACCCCATGTTCATACTGTACAGTGGTAGTACTTCTCTGTTTCCTATAGAAGCAGACAAAACCAAGCTAATAAATGCTGTCTTAGGTTTAACAACTGGATAGTTGGTTTTTCCTTCATTAATAAAGTAGTGAACACCCATGTTCCCTTTATCATGTCCATTATGTAGTAGTGGTGTACAATGTGAAATGTTTCAGTTGTGTTCTTCGAAGCCTGCAACTCCAAAGAAGTGGTTTTATATCTTCCTTGTTTGGAATACTGCGGAAGTTCTGAAATGATTATATGTTAATGGGCAGTCACTGTACTTCAAAATGTGGACATGGAAGCTGCTAGCTACATATTTAATTGATACTGCTGTTTTAGCAGCAACTTTTAAGTTAAATTTATAACTAATTACATTTTTTTTAAACATCCTAGAAAAGAAAAGCAACTTTTAAAGGTACTTTATTTAATTCATAAAATGAATATTTGCTTTGAAATAAAAGAAAAAGTCTTGTTTACGGCATAAGGAGTCCACATTCGAGATGTCTTCATCTATTACTCTTTGAAATATTTACCAAAAAAAGCTTTCTCAGATAAATAAAACGCTATGGGGATTTCACTGACAAATGCTGCACTCCAGCCTGTTTCATGTTCGATATTCACTGAGGAATGGGTGGCCTTCGGAAGAATTGCTGTTGTAATAATGCAAGAAAAAATTTGGGTAGTTTTAACATTGAAAATAAAGAACAGAGTGATACAATAAAAAGGAAAACAACACCCAGAGCTTGTCAAATATTCTGATTTGGTACCCAGAGTCTCAAATAGAAAAGGAACACAAGAAAGAGCCAGCCGCTGATTAGCAGTGCATGTAGTAAAAATTACAGTGATTTGGGATTTAACTAAATTTGATTCCAGTTTTCCCTTGTTACTTTATTGAATTCCCAGGCTTGATTATAACTTAATATTACAAGTATTTTTTTCTACAAGTTTCAATACCTA